TTTTTTTTGAAAATTTTATCCCATAAAAAACTCAAAATATAAGAAAACATATATAGAGTTTTGCTCAAAGGCTAGGAGAAACTTTGCATGAGACATGAGAAAAATTCAAAGATTTACATAGAAAATGTCATCATTATGTTATACCAAACTAGTAGTTTAATAGAATTTTTTATGATGAATTATTTGAACAATATAGAAATATAGTTGATTCTATATGTGGAGGAACTTTTATAGAGAACTTCTGATGAAATTTACACCCTTTATGAAAATTTAAGTGAAAATTCTAAAGATCAAGTCTCTTTTGAGTTATATAATAGGGACAAAAAGAGAGAAATTTATGAATTACATCATCATGATGATTCTAATTTGAGAAATAAGGTTAATCAGATTAATCAAAGATTAAAATAACTTGATCTACTTATTGAAAATATTAGAAAGCCTCATAACCTTCAATTGAATGCATATAATGCATATCTTATATATGGTGAAAATGATCATTTCAAATTTTAATATTATAATCAATCATTTCAACCTAGGCAAGAGCAAGTGTAAGTATCCCACGATGTTAGTAAAAATAAAGAATATTTTTCTAATTCTTATAATCCTAATTGGGGGAATAATTTTTCATGGAGAGACCCAAATAATATTCAAAATCCAAAAGCACTTAAACTCAATTCAAATTTGAAATTTCATCCAAAATAAGAACACAAATTTCAGAAAAATCAGCCCTCTCAAATTCAACCTGATTTTATGGATATGATGCAACAAACAATGAAACAAATGATGTTACAATAAAAATATTTATAGAGGTTTTTGATAATAAGATAGAAGAGGGACAATGAAATTGTCCAGTAGTAGGATTTCAGCAAGAAAAGTCTAGTTGAAAATTTTTAAAAAAAACCTACCAAATGAAAATGTTATGACAATGAATACATTGAGTGAAAATATTTTACCTGATCCTTATTCCTAATTATAAGAGGAAATAGATGAGCCATTAGAAGTAAATAAAAATATTAAGGTTAAAAAATATAGTAGTAGAAAATTTGAATAAAATTATTTATTATTCACAATTGATGAATAAATATAGTGAGGATGATGAGGAGAAAGAGCCCTTAGATGAAGAAATAACAACTAATCATGGAAAAATCATTCAAATTTTAGTAGAAGGGAGTAAGGACAGAAATGAGGAAAAATATATTTCAGGTGAGGAAAAATCGATTGATTTGGGAGATGCAAGAGACGAAATTAATAAATCTTCAAAGAAATGGGTTTTATTTTTTAAGCTTTTTATTACCCACATGAGTCTCACTACCATTAGCACCTTTTTTAGTACTCAAGCTAATCTCTCATTCTTTTTGAGAATTTTGCAGTCATGGATGTTGATAGCGAGGATGATGATGCATATCATATACCAAAATTAAAAGACAACTCTTGGAAAGATGAAAAATTTGATGAGTTGAGAAATGAAAATCTAAAAAAAAAAGTTGATTCAACTAATAAGGAGAAACGAAAATAATGAATATGAATATAGAGATAACTTTAGAGGAGAAAATTTGAATTTTAATGAATTCATTAGATCTGAGAGTAAAGTAGGCAATTCTTCCATCCTTCAAAACCCACAACCCATTAAAATTATGTCTAACTTTGAAATATTTTACTCACAAATTGAACAAATATGTAGGGAAGATAAAATAGAGCAAGGAAAGATTATGCAGATAAAAGAATACATTAAGAAATGGGTGAGTGGAAGAATTAGAGATATGAATTTAGATAAAAAAATTAGATTAGATAAGAGATAATTTTAAAATTATATGGCCTGATCAAATTTTATGGTCTATTAAAAGAAAGTATTTACTAATGAATGAAAACCTTACAAAATGAGATAAAAATGAAGAAAGGTTCTTTTCAAAATAGAAATATTATTTTTGGGAAAATTTTATTAATTTCTATTTTTATTTTGGCTGAAAGTATGTCAAGGTACATATATAAAGCACAAGAATTTATGTTAAATCTGAAAAAGAATATCATGAAACTTACCTTGGGATACAAATATATTTTGATGGCCATAGATCATCGCTGAAGATATTAAATTCAACTCTTTATGAGAAGCAACCCATGGTTTTTATTTCATTTTTTTTTTATTTAAGTTCTACCTTTCTTAGAATTTCACAATATTTATTTCTACATTTTTTTTCGAAAAAGTGTAGGAGTTTAAGATGAAGTGGACAAAATTAAAAACAAGGTGGAGGTGATGTCCTCCTAAACTTTATCCCTTATGATAATATTTTTAGTGCTTAACTTTGCATGTATGCATGCTTCACTTGAAAATTATATTTTCTGCATATTCTATTACAATTTTTCTGTGTCATTGAGGACATTGTTATTTTTAAGTTGGGGGGTAATTATTAAGTCTTAATTTATACTGTAGAACGATTAAGAACATGTGTTTGTGTTTGTTTTCATGTTCACTTTGAAAAGTAACTAAAAAAGTTCGAAAAAACTATAGCATCTATTTTCTGGTTTTCTGTTAAAAACAACACAAAATAATCTACAAACTGTCAAAAATAGCAGAAAAAAATAACCTAAAATTTGAAATTCTAGAGACCATTTTCTCACATTTCAATACCCTAGACATACATTGTTGAAATTCGAAATTACAACCATAAAGAGGATAGTTTTGATTTATTTTTGACAAATCTATTGTTGTTGAAAACCAAATTGGAAACAGAAAATATAACTATCAAAAGTTTCTAATTTATAAATTTCTTACATCATATTGCATGAACTAAAATTAAATCAATTACATATATCAAAAAAAATTAAAAAAATATTATTGAGTTAAAAGAATGATTTAGTAGCATGAAATGTTAGAATACTCTTTGGATACATGATAGATAATATGGATTTGATTTTACAGATTTTTATTTCATGATCTTGATAGATAGTATTTACTTGATGTGAAAATTTGATTGATCATTTAAGTTTAATAGAGATTTTTACGTCATGATCTATAAGACTTGTGAGGAGAAATTACTTATTTTAAAAAAAATAGAGCAATATGAAAAATTTAGAAACTAAGAGTACACATGGAGGGTGCGAGACATCATTTTCATTGTCAAAAATTGTCTATAGAAAAACACTTGCTGCAAAATAAGTAGATAAAGTGAAAGCCTTGAAAATGAAGAGTACACATGGAGGGTGTGAGACATCATCTTATTGTCAAAATTTGTCTATAGAAAAAGCTACTTATCTACTATAGAAAAACAAAAAGAAGAAATATAGTATAAACTTCAAAAATCAAGTTATGGAAACAAAATATATAAGATTAATATTATTCTTAGATGAGTATTGATAATTAAAACGTCTTGTAAATTATATCTATGAGTGAAGAAGTGATGAAGATGTGAATAGAATAAGTAAAGTCTAAATTGTTATTCTAAAGAGTGCTTAAACATTCAAGTGCTTAACATGATTCTTAATATTTGATATAAGAGTCCAAACTGCCTAGAGGTGCATCATTCTTAATTGTATATTTTTTTGATGTATTGAAATATGATGTTTGAGATTTGTGAATTTTTATTTTCGTAATTCTATTGCTAAAGAACTAGCAATGATTTAAGTTTAGGGGTGTGATAAGTCTTCATTATCATGAGTTAATAATTAATAAATAATATAATTTTAGCCTTAACTCACGATAAATAGATTTATATTTGTGTTAAATTGTGAAAAAGTATTTTCAGTTGATTAATATGATTTTTGGTTAATTATGTGATTTTATGTAAATTTATATGATTTTTATAATCCTATTTTTGAGATAAATAAAGAAAGATAAAATAAAATAAAAAGATAGAAAAAGAGAGGGACCCACTAGCTAGTCGAGCTCGCAAGTGGGTCAAAAGCACAATCGAGGTGGAGCCGGAGCAAGGGATCAAATGACTATGGACCGATGGGGGCATGTGTGCACCACTCTCCTTCCACATCATTGGTGCTAGCTTATTGTGAGGCAAAGAATGGTCGTACACACAAGAAAGGAACTCATTGCTTTTAAATATGATATTATTATATATTCATTCAAAACTTTGACGTACAATCGATGTGGGACTAAATCGGCGGTCACACCTTCTCTACAAATGATTTTGATTATTTTAATATCCTAAATATCTCTTAATTATAACAGAGATATACTATGATGACATCATTTTATAAGGATATTAAAGTATTTATTTCAATCTCTCTTATGCAGATGGATGACAAGTGCGAATTCGAATTCTACTAGAGTCAAAATACGTATTTTTATTTGATTAAATCGTGACTTTCTTATAAATTATTAGTGAAGGATTAAGTCACCAGAATTGCTCGATCATTAATGAAAATTTCGTCAACACGATTCACGAAGTATTGTTATTAAAATTGTTGAATGATTCATGATAAAAGGATCATAAATCCGTCAAGTAAGACATCTCCAATTGATCAACAAATAAGCCATCATTAGAAAGAGAATGATCTATCAAGAGATTAATCACCACCTTCTTAAGAGTGTACTAGTTATAATGAAAAACCCTTTCTTGCTGTGTAGACTTGAGGATGAAGCTTTCTGACACGCGCCCCACCTTCATCTAACTCCTCTTCGTCGAGTGACAATTGCCGAAGAACTATAAAGTCATCATTTTTCTACTTTACGAGTGACACTCATAAGAGACGATTCGACGGCCCATTTCATTAATTTTTAAATTTCACAAGAAAATCTAGAGATTGCCCATGTCATCCTTGTCTAAAGAGAACTTTTGACGTCATAAATCCTACATAACGATCATCCCGAACGCACCATGATTTTCAACTTTACGAGTGACACTCATCGGAGAATACTGTGTGGACTTGAGCCTTCTAAGAATATTTTAAATTTGCATGATTTATTATACAATAACTAATTCATGTTAGAGACCCAAGTGCAGGCAAAGTCAATGCATGGTCCCTTCGGATGTACCTTTGGAAGAGTGCCATCATGTCACCACAGGTAGGAAGGAGACGAACCTTGTTGTGCTGCCAATTCTGATGCAGAGGAAGACAACATACAGAGTGATGAGGCCGATCCCAAGGAGCTTGGAAGGTCTCATGTCGTTGTGGGGCAAGATGACGAGGGCCCATATGAGGCCGAGCATGAGGAACCCCAATGTGAAGGGCAGGGAGGCATCTCGAGGGAGGACGAAGGCGGCAGGGCTGGCGGACCAGGCACTGAGGAGTATGGAGATCCCCAGGCCGGCGAGGGTATTGAAGATGGGCCCCGCGTAGCAGCCGGACATGGCGATCTGCACGCCATCGCCGCCGCCGTTCATGGCCAGGGCCACGTTGGACATCAGGTCGCCCATGGAGTTCCCCCAGGCCAGTACGGTCAGCCCCAGGATCGCTGGCTCAACACCGAAGATGGCCCCCAGGGCCACCAGGAGGGCGACCAGCTCGTTGGCGATGATGTAGAACCAGACGATGCTCATCACGAACCCGGCGAGCAACCACGGGAGGAGGAACTTCTGAGGGGGGCGGTCGCTCCTCGTGAAGAAGAAGGCGGCAGTGCTGAGGGAGATGCCGGCGAGGCCGCAGAGAAGAAAAGGCGCTTCCGCTCCAGAGCTTGGAGCCGCCGCCGCCGCCTCCCCCTCCCGCCGGGAGCTGCTGCTGATCCAGAGAATCGCCAGCAGAAGGGGAGCTAAGAGGGCGCTGGCGACAGCGTAGCCTTTTGACCATCTGTCCTCCTCGACGATGGGGATGGTCAGCCGGCGGGGGAGACTCAGCGGCATCTCTATCCAGTGGAGGAGCTTCGAGGAGGAGCAGGAAGGGTTCTCCCCGCCAGAGTTCTCGCTCCAGCCCCAGAGAGGCCTTGGGTTGTCGATGGAGCTTCCTCTGGGGCCCTGGTTGGAGTAGATGGCCACATTGGAGGCCCACATCCACTGCGGTAGCGTGGCGTGCAGAGGCGGCGGCGCATGGGTGGAGTCGTCGACGTCGAGCAGGGAGCTGTAGATGGAGTCGTCCTCCTCCTCGGCCGCCGGAGAGAAGATGCTCCCTCTGACAGGCAGCAGCGGGGTCACCACGTCCAGCTTCAGCCTTCTGGCGTGCTTCCGCAGGAGCTCGTTGGCCGCGACGGAGAAGGCGTAGACCAGGTAGAGGGAGACGAAGAGGACGGCTCCCCAGACGGCGATCTTCCCCGTGGCGAGGATGAAGGAGAGGGACAACAGCGTCAGGAGGAAGAAGACGACGTCCCTGATGAAGCACCTCCTGTCGATCTGGACCCTCTTCTCCGCCACGCAGATGGAGACGACGCCCACCACCACGCAGGTTACGAAGACGGCACCGCCGAGAACGCTGTTCACGCCGACATCGCCGGTGCCTGAGCCGACGAAGGCGGCGATGCTGGCAAAAACGTCCGGCGCCCCGTTCCCCAGGGGGAGGAGGGTGACGCCGGCGACGGTGGGGGGAAGCCTCAGCAGACCGGAGAGCTTCTCCAAGCTGGAGCAGAAGTAATCCGCAGCCGTGTTCCCCAGGAGGTAGAAGAGGGCAGCAAGCCACATGGCCATCACGGCGTAGCCGAGGAAATGGAGATTCTCGCAGTCGCAGTAAAAGAACCTGAGGTAGTCGATGAACCCCCCTGAGGAGCACTGTGGATGAGATTTGATGAAGGAGCACTCGCTGGGGTAGCCTCTGTGGGCTGCTATGCCGGAGCACGCTCCGGCCTCGAGGATCACGGCGGTGCCATTGCTCCCGGCTGCGATTGCTGCCGTTGAATTACTGATAGAGAGCTCGCCGAGATGCCGCCGGGGGTTGAGATCCTGCTTCCAGATCGATCTGTAGGGGGCGGAATCGGCGGTCCGCCATAGGAACGGAACCCTAATTGCAGCCCCCTTGTTGTAGAAGGCGACGAACAAGAGAAGGGAGAACGCGATGTTGAGAAGAGACACCGGCATCAATCCGCGGCGGCGACGGGGGATCGGACTCATCCTCCGCCGCCGATCACAAATCCAGCCACCGCACCTCGTGTTCCTGGGAATTCCCGGCCAGAACTGAAGCCGCAAACCTGCGATTCAGGCGCCGCCGGAGGCCCCTCCCCGACTTCGCGGCGAATCCCTAGCGCTGAGAGGGACGCCGCTCCTTCTCCAGGGAGGAGACGACGGAAGGAGGACGGCAGGGGCGGCGCGAGACTGTTTAAGTTTCCCGACGGTCACCGCTCCTCGCCGCCCACCCCGTGGGGATCGAGTTTGGAAGAAGACGAAGAAGAGAGAGAGAGAGAGAGAGTAGGGGGGCCTTCGTTCTACCTTCGTGAGTTTCGTCATCAATTACTTTTGACGTCAGCTTTTCGGGCAAAAAGATTACAAATTTGTTGGGCCGATGAATATCTTAAAAACCATGGATCCACAACGGAGAGATCTTATAGTGGCGATATGCTTTAGAATGGGGAAAGGGGGGGAAGAGGGGGGTGGGGGTGCTGAATTCACTTTTAAAGTCAAACATGCTTAAACACCAACAAAATAATTGCAATGACGAAAATACCATTTCACATCACATTATTCCCCTAACTCAGAGATCACATTAAAATGACAATGCTTATTTATTCTAGACTTCTAAAGTAGTACCTTTAGTGAAATTCACTACTAAATAGGTTTTATTTTGTCTTCACATATTGCCTATAAATGAGCCACACCCTAAAAAGGTCCATAGACTTATATAAGGGAATCATAAACATAGAAAAGATACTATTCTCCTGCAAACAAGGAAACTTTTGGAGGAAATGTTTTGGTGGCAATACAATGAGTATGGCCTTTTACTTGAGAAATTGTGCTTATTTTAATGAGGGGGTTATTAGTGTATGGGCCTCTACAAATTATTAGAACAAGGGATAAATCCCTTGCCTTTCACATGTTGTACGTTCCTATAAAGTATATGAAATTAACAATTTGCCTTTTGACCTAATTGACAAGAATATTCCTCAAAATACTCTATCACACAATGGCATCCACTTTTTAGACAAGGAGAGAGAGAGAGAGTGATAGTTGGGTGGGGACAAGTGGATAGGCCAACTGCACTTTGAGGGATGTGGGATAGGGCAATCACAACATGGGTGAGAATACATAGATGGGGGGGGAGGGACATTGATGCACATAGGCTGAGAAAAGCAGAGACATGTAGCAACACTTCATATAAGTGAGGTATACTAGATTGAGAGGGACATGTTCTCATTTCTTTCGCAAAGGTAAGTTAGTCTTTTGTGGAAATCTTCATTGGATCTAACTATAATTAGATTATTACTACCAATATGGTAGTTCCGAAGGTGTAATATAGAATGATGAAGGGACCAAATTTCTATTTTTGTGGTACTTCACAAGGACTTACGATGGCTTTTGAAAGATGGGAGATTTATGGCTAGATTTCATGGTTTGTGGAAGGCTAAACATAATTAACTCTTTCATGATTTTTCAAACAAATAAATGAAACTTAATTCATGTACAATTTTCTTGCCTTTCACATTTTAGATACATCTCTCTTGTGCACATCAAAAGCTCTTAGTGACTAGTGATAAGACTTATACTTCAGCTTATTGAAATGATCTATAGCAGTAGGTTGTGATTGTTGGTCCCAATCTTGGCTAAATTATGTACTAAGAATACGGAGAGATGAATTATTTCTTTTAAGTTTTAGCATTTTTGCAGATTTTTCAATTATTGCTACCAATTCTGAATATTGTGGGTTGACATAGTCTTTTATATGTTTACCAAAGCGGATTAGGCTGATACACTAATTGACTAGACTAAATCAACACATAGGTCAACATTAAGGATCAATACGCCTTTTTTATGAGTAGAATGTTAGGATATAAAGTGGTTCTTTCTTTCTCTATCAAAAACTTTACTTTCCACTATTCTCCATCAAAAACTTACAATTGAATCTTTATGGGATCAAGAAATAACTTTATACTATCAAATTCATGGGTCTAGCTCACATTAAGCACTAATTCACTTACTTTTCTTTCCTGATTACAATGACTCTTTAGAGTGCCTTCACAAAATATGAAATATAAAAAACTTCCACTTCAATCTTGATGCTAAAATGGTGAAACCTTTCAATCTAGTTGGCAATTGAACATTTTATGAAATTTTGACAAGTGTTACTATTGGTAGGTATTTGAGAGAAAGTTTTAAAAAATGTATGTTTAGATTTGATTAGTCAAAGATTGTTTACATTGACACATGGGTGATAATTTATGCACATTCAAGTGGTCAAATTGATTACTTTTTTGATTGGGTCATTTTATAGGCATGACATTCTAGAAATTTCTGATATTACTTTGATTTTATAATTTGTCAAGATATGCCCTGTTACCTGATGTAGTTTAGTCATTATATAGTAAATCACATAAATTTAAAATTTATAAAACTAGAAATTATTAATATTTAAATATTTAAAAATATTTTTGGACAAATATATCAATTATAATTTAATAAAAGTTTCAAAAGTAGTGATAATTTTTCAGATTGATCACAAGGATGTAATATAATATCTGATATATTTCAGAACTTTTCACAAAGAATATGATTTTTTTTGAATTTTAGACTAAAAAATAAAAATAAAAATATTTAAAATTCACGAAAAAAGAAAATAATGAGTATAGACGTCAGGATGATGTCAACGCCCCCAATGAATATGAATCGGATGGAAACAGAGTTTCACCTAGTGATTCTTACGTAAGCTATTACAGACGATTTAATTAGTCAAATTAAGATCTATAAAAGCTAGAAGAATCATAATTGAATGAAAAATATTTTGTAAAATTTAAATCACACAAATTATCATTGAATGAAGTGAAAGTTAAGTTGAAAACAAGAAAGACAGAGTTATGGTCTTGTGACAGCAATCGCCGGAATTTTGTGTGTTCGAAAGGGTTCATCAAACAATGTCTATGACCTCAAAAGCTCTCTTTAGATATGGACGACTTGAGCATTCACTAGATCTCCTTTCGAAGTTCAAAAAATAATAGTGAAAGTTAAATTAAAAGGTAATAATGGTTGGTGCTTTGATGTTTAATAGTTGTACTAAAAAATAAAGTTAGAGGGACATAATGGGAAGTCATTTACATAGATAGTTTGTGAAAGTTTTGGTTGTAGCAAAATAGTGTGATTAACTAAGAAGAGGGGTGAATTGGTCATTTTTACTTTACTTATTTTATTGAAAATTTTGGTCAAATTTTTTCATCCTAGAGATTATGGTGGTTTGGCCCACCTAGCATCCTCTAGCATCTAAAGACCATGGCCTTAAGGTTTTCTAAACGTTTAATGAATTATATTGAACATATAAGCTCTAGGTAACTTTCATTGGATTTAGCATCTTTGATTGACTCAAAAATTTCATCTCAAAACCTTTTCATTATTTCACAACTTTAGATGGCAAAATTAGAGGAACACTGACGTGACTCAGTCGTTGTATAATAAATCAGGCAAATTTAAAATTTATAAAATTAGAAAATACTAATTTTAAATATTTATAAATATTTCTGAATAAAATATTAATTATAATTTAATAAAAGTTCTAAAAATAATGGAAAATGTTCAAGTCAATTACAAGGATGTAATATAATATCAAGTAATTTTTTAGAATTTTCTTCAAGTAAATGAAAATAAAATATATTTAAAATTCATAAAAAAAGGGGTGTGGACGTCAAGATGACGTGAGCGCCTGACAAACGTGAATCGGATGGAAATAGAGTTTTGCTTGATGATTTTTACAAAAGCGAAAGAATTGCAATTGAATGAAAAATAGTTTGGTAGATCTAAATCACACAAATTATCACTAAATGAAGCAAAAATTAAGTTGAAAGTAGAAAACAAAATTCTAACGTTACGTTTTGACAATGTGTCAATGATGCACCGAAATCTTGAGTGTTTGTGAGGATTGTCGTGCAGTGTCCACGACCTCGAAGGTTTCTCTTGGACAAGGACGACGTGAGTAATCTTTAGATCTTCTTACAAAGTCTAGAGATCAATAAAATGGGTTGTTGAATCATCTCCGATGGCTGTCACCTAGTAGAGCTGAAAAATAATAATTTTGCGGCTCTCTAGTGACTGTCACTCGACAAAGAGGAGTTAGATGAGGTAGGATTCGTGTCAGGGAGCTTTATCCTCAGGTTCACACAGTAAGAGGAGGCTCTTCATTGCATTCGGTACGTTCTTAGGAGGTGGCAACTAATCTCCTGACGGATCGTCCTCTTTTTGACGACGGCTTGTTTGCAGATTAATTAGAGATAATTTACTTGATGGATTGACGATCTTTTTATCATGAATCCTTTAGTAATTTTAGTAATAATGCTCCGTGAATCGTGTTGACGAGATTTTCACTAATGATCAAGTGATTTTGGTGGCTTAATCTTTCACTGGTGATCTATAAGAAAATTGCGATTTAATCAGATAAAAATATGAGTTTTGGCTCTAGTAGGATTTGAACTCGCGTTAGTCGCTCATCTGCATAAGAGAGATTAAAATAAATACTATAATATCTTTATGAAGTGACATCATCATGGTATATTCGTGTTATAACTAAGGGATATTTTAGGTATTAAAATAATCAAAATCATTCCGAGAAAGGGGTTTAGTCCCACATTGATTGTATGCTGAAGTTTTGGATGAATATATAGTAATCCTACATTTAGAAACAATGAGTCCCTTTCTCCAATGTACGACCACCCCTTACCCTAGAGTCAATTGATCATCAGTGACGTGGAAGGGGAGTGGTGAACACATGCCTCTATCGGTCCATAGTCGCTTAAGCCTCTACTTATGGCTCTGCCTGATTGCACTTTTGACCCACTTGTGGGCCCGGCTAGTTGGCAAGTCCCCCTCTTTTTTCTATCTTTTTTTAAAATTTATTTTTCTTTATTTATCTCAAAAATAGGATTATAAAAATTATATAAAATCACATAAATCACATAATTAGCCAAAAATTTATATTAATC